GTGATCACACCAGGCACAGTGTTGCTTAAGGGAGTTTTATATTGTAGGAACCTAGCGAAACATGTCATGCAGCGTAAAGCTCTCTTTAGATTTCTGTATCACTGCACGTATCAGAACATATGCATTTGTCATTCGGAGACGGTTGCATAGCTGTTGCGTTTATACTTGTACAAACAATTTTGTTCTAACTAGGGGGCACTCACACATCAAAGCACAGAAAAAAAAGTCAGAAAAATGAAATGGTATAAATTTTGAGCAAGCCACGAATCTGTTATGTTTGTCCTAGAGCTGGTTGCCGGTGATTGGTTAAATCTCTTGACACCTCAAGTTTTAGCATTACAAGCATCCTGTGTAAACACATCTGACAGCACGTGTGAGAGAGGAGCAGCCCCTCTCTCCTCTAAACAGAGACCGACAGAAAATGCAATGGAGAAACTAAGCAGGGCGGTCCATGTCAACCCCAGAGGCTATGCTTGGTGATGGTTAAGGGAAGTATGGGGTGTACTGCTCATTAGGTTCCAGTAGTGGAAATGCAGCATTAGTGTGACTAGACCCTAAGTTCCACAAAAGTTTCTGTTCCCTGGGGAAAGTTCCTTTTGGTGGAAACTTTAAATTGGCCCCATGTCATCAGGACAAACGGCTTCTTGCCTTGCTCTGCAGAGTAGGTTTTAGGTTCAATATGTTTCATTTTTGTTTCTGAAGCACTTCTAAACCCTGTGATTAAGCACTTTCATTTGTGAGTAAATGTTTACTTGAAGCAATGCCATAACATGTATGAGTTTCTTCAGGGCGACACAGGTGCACACATTCTTCAGGATAACACAGACAGCCCAATACGTTGCCTTTTAATGAAGCTCAGAATCCTCAGTTTTTGTCTCCCTCCCTCTGTATTTTCTTTTACTTTGGAGGAAGAACTCATGGAGACTAGTGGCAGGCTGTTCGGAGCTGATGGCTGGACAGACATGTAACCTAACCAAAGTGTTCAAAGACCCGTATGACAAGTACCAAGCCCGCATCCAGGCCTTCACACCTACTCAGACATCCAACTGGACTGTATCACAATGGTTCCAGCCCCTGACAGACAGTGAGGCATCACCAATGCTATTACACATAGAAGATTTACAATACTGTAGTTATTTGTCCTGTGATGAATCTCTTCTCAGCTGAATGAAAGTGAGTTCATTTCTCCCTGTAGCTGTGTTAGAACCTCCCGATGTGTCTGTGTCCGGCTGTGGGAACTGTTTGATCATGCAGCTCAAAGTTCCTACAACAAGAGGGTTGAAGGACCTCTACAGAGGAGTCACCTTCCATGTGCAAAGGACTAGGGACGGGGCACAGGTATGTGTCAGGTTTAAAGCTGCTTTATTTAATATTTATATTTACAATCAAAATTTCCAGAAGCGAGTAGCCATTACATAACTTGTAAGAAATTCTTTTAAGATAGATTTTTAGCACTACATTATCAGTCACTTGCCAACAATGCATGTCTCATAAAGTGTCATGAGTTTTTGTTAGAATTACACTACACTAATCAATATTATATGAACAGTGGGTCAAATGATTCTGCATACACACAACATTTTAACTCAGCCCTGCAGTTTCCCTCAGAGTGTTTTGACATCTTTTGTTTTGGTTTTATAGCCCACAACTTGACGGCATTCGTTGAGTCTCAGTTCTCATTTCCAGCAGCAGCAGGCACCAGGTTTCGGTGTAAAAGCTTTAAAACAGTACACTACCTGCTCACCAGCACACCGCAATCAGCAGACGTATAGTTAGCTGCTGAACACAGCTGAGCATTTAGCAGCTGCAGAGACAGATATGTCCCTGAGGAGTTGGGAGAGACCAAAGAACAGTTAAAAGGGAGTGAATACTGGACAACCACAACTCCAAATTATTGTGTATTTTTGGGGGAAAAAGTAAGCAGTTTAGATAATTTCCAGCTTGGTGTAAATCTGAATACAAGTATTTTTTCAGTAAAGCAAATACAAATAGTACCATTGTGTTAAACCCTCCAACTCCTAAATTTATTTGTGTTTAATAAAAGATTACACAGCAATCCTTTGGTCCAGGGGTAGTTAGCACAGTCAAACTGTACACAGGGAAACAGGGGGATTAACCTGGGCCCAGCAGCTCAGTATCTTAAACCAGCCATGCTTTACTTCTCTGATAACCCCAAGTTACTGTGGATTATGTTTTACCAGAAATAAGTTTTAATCCAGTTTAATTTCATTAGCTGCTTTTATGGACTTCGTTTGGGTTTACAGAGAATTCACAATGGTGTAAGCAGGGTTAATGCTGCTCTTAAGTGGAGTAGTCCCAGTTAAATCTCAAATGCAACCTGTTATTTTGTGTATGTATTTTGTTTAATTAAGATATAGATATAGGGTATATGTGTTTCTTACAGAGATTAAGAGGACGCTATGGTAAATTTATTAAAGAATGAAAGAGAAACAGTGTTGCCATGATCTGTGTGCTATTTATCGTCCATTTAATAATTAGCCTTAAGAGATAACAGCAAATTTCTATTCTGCTGGTATGTTTGTTTCAGGTTGCATGTGCTTAGATGAAGTGAAACTCACAGCAGTGTGGAATACTGAGAAATCGAAACAGCAAACCACCAAAGCTCTTCTTCATCTCTTTGAAGTCTCATGAAAGGCCAAAGGTCATGTAGGCTCACATATGGCTTCGAGAGGCGTCGGGTTCCCTCACATGGCTGATGTTTGTCAGTATGTGTGGTTTTACCCACATCATCCTCTCACCGGCTCATGCTTGCCTGTGTTTGACAAAACATTCGGTCTGATGAGAAGAACAAAAAATAATTAGTTTAAATATCTGTAATTTCAGTCTTCTTGTACTGCATTTTTGCCAGTTACAATATGCACAGGTGACAAGAAGTGATCAGACCAGCAGCTAAACCACTACTGGAGAAAGTGATTCACATAAATTATCAGAATATTCTTGTTCCCACTTGAGTCATGAAAAAAAAATCAATCAGTAAATCAGTTTTAAGTGTGACATCTAGGAGACATGAGTAACATTTTATTTCCTTTACCAGCCATGTGCATTACTAAAAACACTAAAGTCAGTGGAGATAAAGTGTCAGATGTACTGCCGTGTTTCGCAGATCACTAATTCAGCCTGGGTCTTGTTTTGCATTTCCTGTTTTGAACAACTTGTGCATGGCAGCAATTTCTTGGGAAAATACAGTGTGACGCAGAAAGCGACACATGTCACCTTTACTACAAACAGCAACAGTTTCTTTGGAATCAGCCTGCAAGAAATGGGTAGTGACCGCTGGGCAAAGAAAGAAGAAGAGAGTGCTACCTGTAGAAGTCTACAGAGTTTTTAATGAAGTCTTCCAACACTAAGAAAATTATGCAGCAAAAATCAGGTAACAGAGCAAATGTTTGCTCAAAAAAATCCTTTAGAAAGAAAATGAGACAAACTGATAACAAAACGGGGAACTTGCAGTAACTCCCATTTAAACAGCAGTATGTGCAGATAAGCATGCAAAATTTATTTATATAGCACCTTTTTAACCCAAGTTACAAGGTGCTTTACAGTAAAACAGAATAAAACCAGATACAATCACACACACACACACACACACACACACAACACACACGGTAAAATAATAACAGCAAAAAAGCACAATCAAAAACAAATACATCAATCAGAGACGTTGTTGAAGGCCTGCAAATACAAGTGAGTTTTAAGGATCTAATATTGCTTGGCAGACTATTCCTTCTTTCTTAGACTATTCCATAGTACAGGAGCTCGGTCTCCCCATTGTTTTGCTCTGGACTTAGGTACATCCAGGAGCAACTGATTGGAAGACCTAAGTGTCCTCTCTGGAGCATAAAAATGTACAAGATCAGAAATAGTTAATGATTATGAAAAGTTTTGAAATCATAGCACCTTCTGGAGGATGCATTTGGTTTTAACTTTTTTCAGCAACAAGCTTTTGTTGTTAACAATTCATCAAATAAATGGAGTAAGATGAGGTAGTGGGGAATTAATCAGCCTCTGTTGCCACCACTATTTCACTGCATCCTGTTTCAAGACAATAAAATTAAACTTAATGGGTGAAATGTTTCAGTAACAATAATGTTTGTTCTTAACACTTGTCATATACTCTGGGTCATCTATAGATCTTTCCCCGAGAGAAAGAATCAATCAGAGTGAAGCCTTTTTCATGTTTATACCCATTATCTTCTGGTCTCTGTTGTGTTTCAGTTCAGTCTGACTCTGCCTTTCAAAGAGAAGAATGTGATCACATACCTGCAGCCAGGTGTGGAATACTGTGTGACTGTGTCTGTGACAGGACTCTTCACCTCCAAACCTGTCTTCAGTAAACCTTACTGCGCCTTCACCAGCCCTCCTCCACACAGAGGTTCACGTATGTCACTGTTGTTTTACTGCAATACTCAGCATCCCCAAGTAAAATAGACAAGGTTGAACCTTAATGTTGAAGCTTAAACCGTAACCTCACATCCCAAAGAACTAAACAACGACTAATTTTTTCCAAATAGAAATGGTTTATTTTAAATTACAGTTCAGCCTATGTAACAAGGAATATAACACAAAAAGTCATATAAAATTCAACAAATCAATGGACATAAGTAAATAAAAATATACAGTAGAACTGTATGACCTTTCGGTTTCCTTTTTAGTTTCATGCTCTGTCGCTATCAGTCTGATTGTTCCTTAATCTCTGTTGGAAGAAGTTTACTGTCTAGGTAATGTCCGATAGCTAAAATTCATAGAACCATTTTTACTTGTGAAGCTCTTACTTACACATTTGCCCTGGCAAGTAACAGCTCATGCTTCACTTGGGGGCCCGAAATGGCTTTAATGCAACTAATTGAAAGCAGCAACTGGGACTTTGTTGTATCTTGTTGCTTTTCTTCTTTTGTCCCTCCTCTATCCACTCACCCCAACCGGTCAAGGCAGAAGGCCCCCGGCCACCTGTCGGAGGTTTCTTCCGTTAAAGGGAGTTTTTCCTCCCCACTGTCACCAAGTGCTTGCTCAAGGGGGATTTGTTGGGTTTTCCCTCTGTAATAATAATATTAATAATAGTAAGTCCTTACTTTGTAAAGTGTCCTGAGATGACTTTTGTTGTGATTTGGCGCTATACAAATAAAATTTGATTTGATTTGATTTGACTTCACCCTTCCCTCTATTGCTACTCTCAGCTGCATGCTTTCTGTTTGTGGTTATGTACAGTACTTTAACCCTGTGAGGGGTAGAAGACTGATCAAATAACATAATACATTCTACACCTTAAAGAGGGCTTAATTTAATTCCCACTAATCTTGTAGCATCTTAATGCAGTTAGCAGTTATGGCTATAAGCACTATGTGTTGTTTTCTGTGTTTTCAGTGAAATATGATGTAATCTCTGTTTTCCTGTACAAACTGTGCTTGACTGACAGCTCCCCCATCCTAGTGGTAGCTTTGTTTGCCTGTTAGGGGCCAGAAGACATACACTTTTACTATTTTTCATGTACAGTGGGTACAGAAAGTATTCAGACCCCCTTAAATTTTTCACTGTTTGTTATATTGCAGCCATATGCTAAAATCATTTGTTCATTTTTTTTCCTCATTAATGTACACACAGCACCCCAAATTGACAGAAAAACACAGTATTTTTGACATTTTTGCAGATATATTAAAAAAGAAAAACTGAAATATCACATGGTCATAAGTATTCAGACCCTTTGCTCAGTATTTAGTAGAAGCACCCTTTTGAGCTAATACACCCATGAGTCTTTTTGGGAATGAAAAGAGTGAAAAATTTAAGGGGGTCTGAATACTTTCCGTACCCACTGTATATTCAACTTGGAAAGAGCTTTGATCCATTAGACATGCAAACATCTGTGTGGGTGGTGCAGGGCCTGTAACAAAGGGCTGACATATTGTTATATATCCTGTGTCTGAAAAAGGCTTAAAGGATAGGTTACATTTTTTTAAGTCTGTCTTAAAACAATACTCAGGTTTTGTTTGTTGTAATCATTTCCCCTGCTTATACTGTCTGTCAAGAGATTCCTTCCTAATGCACTTCCACTGTAAATAAGGGGGATTATCCAGTTATAATTTTGTGCAAAACTGTGTTCCAGAGTTCATCTGGACTTAATGAGGGTTAGCTGTCTGACTTTAACAAATCATCTGGGTATCTTCTAAAGTCGTTTCAGTATTTCCTCACTGGGTTTGTTCAGACATGTTCCAAAATGTGAACATATTCAATAAACTCACAACTTTAAGCAGTTGAAATCATGTGCAGATGGATTCAGCTGTCATTTAAACATGTACCTCATAAAGGCAGGATTTGTTGAAAGTGCTGTAGCTAGGCTAAGCTAGCTGTAGCTGTGTCTGAATAGACTGGTGTTCCTCTCCTCTGTGTGGCTCCTGGCTAAAGGGCTGCAAGAGGAACTTGATTTGAATTTAAACAGTTTTTTTCAGAGATGTCAATGTCAGCAGAGAATTTAACAGTTATCATGGCCACAACTATATGCTAATTAGCAGAAGACTAGCAGAAAACATTCCACAGGTAATGGGATCTCTAATATAATAAGAAGTGTATATTCCTGAATCTGATGAATTTTGTTCTCCCCCTTTTACAGTGAATGTGGTCTTCATCTTGCTGGGTGTGTTCTGTATGCTGGGGTTCCTCCTCATTGGACTGGTTGCATATGGTGGTCAGCTGAACTTCAAGCTATTAAAACGACACCTACCCAGAAGTCTGGTAATTGAGCCAACTCTGTGTTCTGTGTGCCTTAGACTTTTCTCTCAAAATTTTTAATTCAATTCAGTTAAATTCACTTTTATTTGTATAGCGCCAATTCACAACAAAAGTCTTCTCAGGACACTTTACAAAGTCAGGTCTAGACCTTACTATTATTAATATTATAGAGGAAAACCCCAACAAATCCCCCTTGAGCAAGAATTGGCGGCAGTAGGGAGGAAAAACTCTGTTTAGCAAATCTCTTTGTTTGTACATGCTTGAGCAGAGAGTTCACCATGTTTTGAATAACACTGTCAGAGCTCAACTGTCTGCAAATCCCAGCTGCATAAATGAAGTATTAAACCATGTGAGAAATCCTTTGCCTGACACTTTTGCAGCAGATCAATACCCTGTGATAGCGGCATACATCAATGAGCCAGATTTCCTGTTTCTGCTGTGTACAGAGATGCACCCCTATGATTTCACATTCACTGATTTAATTTGTGTTCCATCTATTTGGCATGTATTGTTTAGATTTTTCGTTGAGCATGGCCACATTGCTCTGATTTTACAGCTGCTGTCAATGTGATACAATAGCACTATCTGTTGGTGTTGCATTGACATTGCTTGTGTTGTGAAATAAAAAATTCAAGAATGAAGAGAGTCTGTCATTTCTGAAAATACAGGTGAA